ATCAAAGGTGAATTGAAATATTAATTAAATGTAATTCAGCCTCTATGTTCCTCACCAGTAGGACTTGAAGTAAACCTGACAATGAAATGGGTGCTCGCTACTCTGACATGACGTAGTTACAAAAGGAATGCTGGAATATTATCTGGTAACCGTCTGAGCTGCCCCACGATTTGAATAACCAATGTTTATAATAATTTAGTAGCATTCGTGTCTGCTAGAGGCTGACAACACAGACTTTCTGCTTTTGGATTTTAACTGGTACTAAACATAACATCACATTATTTACGAGTATATCTCATTCTCCATAAAGTTTTTTATCTGGTAGAGAAAATAAGACTACTGTTACATTACATACATCCTCTCGTCATAAATTCAAAAATTGATTGTCATTATATTTTGTGCTTTCAAGAATGTCTAATACAAGCAATTTTAATACCACAAATTGGACATTCGCGATTTGTGGTTCCGTTAGTGTTAACACTTTTGTTCATAATGTCTAAATATTCGAACTCAAACGAAAGTAGGTTTTTTTTTTTTTTAATTGGGACTAATCCCACCCACACGCCCACCACTGTAACTCCTGTACACCAGGATCCACAGCAGTGACCCACGAACACACCGAGTTATGACACTCGGGAAGTCCCAGGAAGAAATTAAACTGTCTTGGAACCCGCAACGAAATTAATCAGAAGAAAATTGGAGGAGTTGGAAATACAGTAAATCCACTTCCCTCCTTAGCAAAGCGGGAGACAAAATGAAGTAAAATGGGCATACACCCTTTTAAACAGGGAAGCACCACGGCCACAAATATTACGGGTCCTACGTGAGCTATGTTTGATTTCTATAATATGTATGGCAGAATCGCCTAAACGCACGGAAATTCACCCTAGTTGACACAAGATCCCCATAGTATACCGCCCCAGATGTCACCTGCAAGCTATTCAGCATTATATTACATTCATTATACCAAAGACTACATTCCCAGAGGATATGATGAGCAGACTGTTCATAGTGAGAGTTAGGTGTTGAGCATTGACACAATGGTGACTCGACTAATTTAAATGAATAAAGCTTGCTCTTAAAGTTACCATGACCCGTAAGAAGTTGAGCGACACAGTGATCTACCTCAAGCCATATCCTCGACAACCGTTCGCGAACAGATGGCAAGAATTGGTAAAGATGGCGCCCCTTGGATGATTCATCCCAGCGTTGTTGCCATACGTCTATGAGGTCATTATAGACATCGGGCTGCTGTTGAAGCAATCTTGTAATTTTACCGCGATCCCGCGCGCCCAAAAAATCGCATTCCATGTTTTGTTGTCTTGAATAGTACATGGCTGCACGTCTCTGCACCTCGAGATCGACCGGAAGGACACCCGCCAACACCGGCAAAGCCTCAGTGCTAACCGTCCTATATGCCTTACACAAGAATATCAGTGCAAGTCGTTGGCCTTGTAACAGTTTGCGACGGACAGCGCCTACGGTCGCCCTATCGGCCCATACAGGTGCACCATAGCACATAGAACCTAAATAAGTAGCTCCGTATATGATCTTTAATGTATTAAATGATAGACCCCATGTCGCAGTTGATATCCTTGTCAATGCACAGAAACTCTTTTTAGACTTTTCATTAACTATTTTAATATGTTCGATAAATGAAAAGTTTCTTTCTAAAACTAATCCTAGATAACACACTGTAGTTTTATTATTTACAGTAACATTGTCAAATCTAATGCTCGGCGGTGATTTGAGGTTACCTTTTTAAAGTAGCTGGAAGGTTTTGTTGGGTGCAAAAGTTAAGCGATTACGTTCACCCCATTGAGATATCAAGTTCAAACATCTATTGGCTAATCTCTCAAGCCCCGCCCTAGTATCAGATTCCAAGTAGGTATATGATATAAGCTAAGGATGATGACCGTTGAGAAACAAAAAAAAACGGTATTACTCGGATACCAAAAGAAATCTAAACGGACTAGTCCCCGCATATGATGAAATGAAATGGTGATGATGAAATGATATTTATTTCTGCAAGTAAATCTTTTCAAATATTTTTACAAGTTGGACTTTACTGCATGCATAGGGCATTTCCTAATACTCGCTCTCGTAAGAAACGCCGAAACAAACCACAGAGGTATCTTTTTTTTTAAGTCAGTGTACAATGTTAAAGAGAACTATGTGAGTGCAGTATAGGCTCTGGGTTGGCCTTTTGAAGAAACGAGCCTCAGCCATTTGATAACCTAACCGATATAGTCAGGATTAACAACCCGGAACACGACACTACCGCCTGCAGGACACTTTAGGGGGCCGTAGAAACACTCAAAACCACCACAAAGTTACTAAAAAATGAACTAACATTACAATCATACACTATACTCACTTACTTACACAAAAAATGAATATACTTTACAATTCAATTTCAAATAAACAAATTGAAAACAAACGAAATACGAATTACAACAAAAAAAAAAAAAAAAAATTTGACATAGTTTTGAGTCTATTTTTACTACAATAATCCTACTTGATTTATTCATGACATCATCGCAGGTTAGATCGATGGTCACAATAGGCTATTTAATAAAATAGGTTGACAAAAAGCTTCATTATAAGGTACTGCTCGGCAAATAATAAGTACAATATTGTGAGAATTCTCGGAGAAAATTGTTTGGGTAACGTACCAAGAACGATTACTTTGTCGTACTGTTTTTTGAAAAGAGACATTCTATTTTTGTATTGTATTCCGACAACAACTATACTACACTTAGATATACTTATGTTTATGTAATTTAATATTTGTTATACAAAGCAAATAGTTTCATGTAATAAAGAATTTGTTCAAAAGGAGTCTATACTTCTCCGACCTTTATAAGCATACAACGTTATATTATACAGTCAAAATAAACGCAAGTCCGAAATACAACGTTTGCCACTTCACCGAAAAACCACTACTCATACTAATGGACGGACGAACACTCTGAATTAAATAAAATTTCTTAGTGAGCATAAATTGGGCGAGAAGGTTCAATGTTTATTTGTACACCGTTTTACAAGTAGTATCTATTTATTACAAGTAATAAGTGAAGTGAAAACTTTGCACCCCTTTTCAACAAAATTTTAAATTTGACATAGTTAAAGTTTATTTGAAAAAAAAGTGCATAAAGCAATTTTTTATATAAAATACATTAGAAATACATTATAGCCATAATGAAACCTTTGGTTATAGAGGTATAGTCTCTGACAAAAGAACCATAATAAAGTTCCAACTTAAAAAATAAACAAATTATGGTCGAATTTCGATCACTGGGCGAATACCAGTGGTACATAAAAATAACATAAATGTTATGTAGTATATACATTTATGTTTCCTTGTCTCATTGAATAAACTTATATGATTTCTACACCACCCAAAGGTTGACTGGAAGAGAATGCCTTGGGCATTAAGTCCGAGGATGTACAAAAGTGCATAAAGTTTGAAATAAATAAATAAATAAACACTACATATGCAAACATTAACAAAAATGACTCTCTTTAAAAAAACTAGTTAATATCCTACCTATGTTTAGATAACAAGCGTAGAGCTCACCTTTTGGTGACGAGCGTTTTAACAAGTGCACTAAATTTATTCTAATCGTGCACATCTATAGCGTATCATATAAATGTAAGCTATAGTCTCGGTTAAACGTAGACGGGGCGAAATTTTTCTTGCAGCCACCATTCACAGATTCTTGTAAGAACTTAATCTTGTTATATGTAGGTTTCAAATAAAAAAGCTAAAAAAGTTCCTCAATTCAAATGCAAGAGTAGAACTCGCGCTTTAATATTTTTAGTAGATTTTTATAAAAAATCTCAGTGTTACAAAATCTCTGACAAAAAGTGGATCATAATATGTTTTAAAATAAACCTCATTTTATACTACTACACATTTTATTAAAAATACGGGGTTACGGACAAAAATAGGTAATAAAATATTTTATTCATTTATTTAAACTCAATGCACATATTGTACAAAGGCGGACTTAATGCCATTAGGCATTCTCTCCCAGTCAACCTTCAGGTGATGTAGAAATATGATGCGGTAGGTGCAAAATAAAATATGTAATTTAACATAATTTAGGTCCAGAAACATACACAATATAAAAACACAGATGGATAAAAAACCCTACATAAATTTAATAAAATATATAAATACTCAGTCGGGTACTAGCGCTGTAACTGTTCTGCCAATTCACCCCGAAGAATATCGAATGCAAGGCGATTTGTTGACATCCTGATTTCGGCAGGGAGGGCATTCCAGAGAAGAACTGACTGGACGGAGGAGTTGATATATTACGAGCAAATATTACGAGCACCTCTTTATAATAAAGCACCATGGGTGTCTATGGCTTGGCGTCAAGTATACCTTAGGAATACATAAATGTAACGTATAAATCATTTGTCTAATTACCGCTTAAAACTATTTTTTTAAGCGAGATCAAAAATGTAAGAAAATCGCATTTCCTTTATGTAAAAGAATTCTTAGTAAATTTTCTTTTAAAAGCCAAAGCATTATTTTAATTTGTTAAGTATGCGAACGTTTTTCTTTTTTTACTCTGTAATAAGCGAAACAATGCACAACGTATTCAAAGTATTTCAGGTATGTACCTATCTCTGTGGTAGGTCCTGTGTCGGTTGGTCAATGGCATATTCATTCTGCCAAGTTAACTAAAGAATAAACTTCTCTACTTAAGCAGCTCCAAAGAAAATAATCATGATACTCTCTCTCTCTGTCTCTCTGTCTCTCTCTGTCTCTTATAACACTTTCAATTGAAATCCGTTCTTATGCAAACTCTCCTCCATAAATCATTATTCCACCTAAAAGAATCTCTATGTATCAGCTATTTTTCTAAAAAATAATATTTTGTATTAACGCACTATAGATAGATTTATAGCACAATAACTGACCAAAAGTTTTTTCTACCCTTGACTAAATCAATCGTTTAAAATTCAAAACTTTGTGTGTCAACTTAATTTAAATGATATAAGTCCCATGTCAATGACACCGGTTCGGCTCGGATGCGGGTACTGTATTCGAGCAGTATGCTATAGCCCAATAATATGCATATCATTATCAGTAGACTCTCGTTTATATTTGTACCATAAATTAAATTTGAATTTGTAGTTATAATTTTATCTCCATACATTCCATATTGATGTCCACAGCCTACACTTTCACTTACCTTGGCAATTTTGTGTAGAAGAGCAGTTGTAGAACTGGTCTTGAAAAGACCGAGCGCCCGGCGCCGCAAACCCTGGCCAAGACAAGATTCGACTGCTCCGCACAACGCAGTCACGCCGCCACTATCTTCGTGGACGAACTTTCGTGTAACAGCCTGCATCCAAAAAAAAACTGAACAAATGATCATGAAAATATTGATCGAAAACCCTTTCAATACTTCTACTATTTCAGCTATCAGACAAGGCTAGCAACGTTTTCACATTGAATGGCAGTTCTAAATCTCTGTGCATAATAAAGTTTACAAATGACTAGAACATTTTGGTCATTTGGGATTTTTTTAACAACCAAGACTAAGTGTTTTACCGATTGCCATTCTTAAGATCTCGTTATACTTACTACATCATTAGAACTAGTAGGTAATATTATTCTTAAAAACTATCTGATCATTTTTAAATTACTCACCTCTTCCATTAACTGTTTAACCTCCTTCTTGACGGCTGCAATGAGCCGCTCCTTTTGCTCAGCGCTTGGATCTGCAGCAGTGGCCGCCGGCATTTCCTCTTCAGCTAACAACACATATCTATTTTAATACTATCAATAAATACTTTTAGAGCATACATACAAGTTAATTTCGTATGAATGTTACATTCATATGCCTTCATTAAATATCACATACTATTACGCAACTGTCTTGCCGATAGAGTAATTTAACAATAATTCTATGAATATAAAGCAATTAATTAAACTTCAAAATAAGATTTTATTTCTCTCAACTCCCAATGTGAATGAAAACTCAAATAAAAAAAACGAACTTTAGATATTGTCCTAACACATTAAAAGGAAAGTTAATTTAAACCTGCATGTGACATGTGATGGCGTGGCATGTGTGCGGCATGTGACAACGGAACTTACTGCGTTATTGTTTTTTTTTTTGTTTTTACCTATTTTATACGAGTACCTGTATTTAAAGTTAAAAAACAGTTATCGCAGCATTTGTGTAAAAGGTATTTGTTTTCACGTTACTCTTCGCAGTAAATTTAGAACAACGCTGTTTCATTGATTTTTTTGCATAGCAGGTTGCCTTTTGAAATCTTTACCAGAAGCCAAACTTAACCAATAAAATCATATTAAACTGATATCTTTCATTATTAAATGAATTATTGTTTAAAGTATTAAAGGTCAAGATTTATTGTTTTAAAAGTCAAGAACTTTCGTCGTCTGTTAGCATTCTCTCAAGACAACATTTTTTTTTTGTAATACTTGATCCAAAATGGTTTTTTCTTTTGTATTTGTTAGGAAAGGTTTTATAACATAAACAATGTTTACCCTGATTAAGTTTATTGTACTCCACGGAGCAGGGAAAAATAAGACAATATTTGTTATCACTTTTCTTATTCTTCTATTACTTCTTTTTATTAATGGTTTATAATGTATTATTTTATTTAATTGGTACGATAAACCATATATCCATATCCCCAAGCCTTAATATCCGTAATCTATAAAAAATACATATTTACTTTCTTTCTTTTCCCGTAAATCATACAATATTACAAATATTTTTCTGACAACACATGTCGGAGAGATTGAGATGTCGTTTAATATGTCTCAATGTACTGTCACTTTGACATACAAACACATACACAGCATAAAAGATTCCTTTGAAAATTGTGTCAACAAAACGACCCGGCATTATGACATGTATACCTTACCTACCTACATATTTAGTTCTAAACATCCATTTGTTGGAACCCACTTGGAAAATAATATTTCTGTTTCCCTTTTTTCTAGGAAAGTTCGATAATTACCTTACCAACAAAGCATTCCGTACTAACAGTAATATAATAATTAGCATTTCTTGACAAGGTGTAACGTCCTGAGTAATTAAATTCAGACATTTTCGAGTTCGGGTAATATGCAATCTTTAACTTGATTATCATTAATATTACAGTCAACAAAAACATCGTCAGGAATATTTACTATAAGATATTTTGTGAATTCACTGATCGTGAAAAATTAATTTGATTGACTTAGATGAATTGCTTAGAAGCAACACATCTAAGCCAATTAAAACGGATAGCTTTTAGATAAGCTATTCATTTAAACTCATTATTTCTACAAAATAATTTCGATGTTTTATATCTGCCAGACATCCTGCGACAGCTCATTTTTTTTAATATAACTATTTTAACCAACTACTGTACATCTACTTACGTTATGTAAAAGACCAAAAAAGATTTTCCTATTTTTGTGTCGTGTACATAACACTAAAATAATTTTCTTCGAGTTGATTTTAGTCGTCCGTACCCTCTAGTGTTTTGTTGATCGTTAAGATTACATAATTGATGTATTTTAACTATACTAATTAGTTTATAGCTGCCTAACGACTTTTATTACAATGAAAGGAAATTACTAATAGGAAGTAACATGATTTATATTACCAACTGCCATTCGACAAGAATTAAACAGTTAATTGTAATAACTTACATAACAGAATACAAAACTGGGTGAAAAAAACTGAAAATTCAAAAGAGTCTCACGAAACTTCACGAAAAGGAATATAAAAACATAAGTATGAGATACATACTTGTTGGTGGCGATGGTGGTGTTGTGCTTGGCGACTCTAGTTGGGTTAAAAAAATATTGCTTAAAAGTTGTATTAAAACTAAAAGATATCCATTATCTCTAAAAAAAGGGTAACAAACTTTAAAATGCCTACATCACAGTAACCTACTATTACTGAGTAATTTCGGTGGCCACCTGTGGTCTTTATTATCAGGACCACTTTACAAGAAATCACATTAGGTATGCTTTTAAATTATAAAGAGTTCGTCAACTTTCTACAAAATCCCGCCATCAGATCCTGATCTGATAACAATGGGACACTCTAGGCAGTTTACGTTTGAAAGCAAAAATAAATTCTATTCAGGTATTTCTTGAATAGAATTCTCACATAGAATTAAGAACTGCCTCTTCTTTTTCATATCGCTTTAAAAGCATTGAGTTAAGAGATGAGCCCTTGGTGCCTATATTAAAGGCTCCTTTAGTAATTCTAACAAGCCATGCATGTGAAAGGAGACTACCATTATATAATGTACGAATTTCAAGCGCTACGGCAACCGGGAGACGCGTTCTACTTATTACAGACATAAGAACAATCCCAAAGAGATTCTTCACAGTACTTATACCATCCATACTTCCACATTAATACTAAAAATAGGAAAGTGAGTTTGTTTGTTTAGTTGTAATTATTAAAAAAAAAAAATTTAGCAATGGAGAGCTACATTGTGTAAAATAGGCCACTTTTTACCACGATTACCGCGCGCGGAGCCGCGTACAAAAGCTAGTTTAAGAATTTTCTATTACATAGGTATATTACAATGTTCTAAGGGGCTTCTAGCAGTTTCATAACAGTAATGACATTCTAAGAATATTATAAGACGCTAAATTAAAAAGGGAAAAAAGCCATTATGTCAGAAAAGTATGTTTTTCTTCAAACGCAAATGAAGGCTTTTGAAAAAGTTTTTCAATAACTTAGTACAATGTCGTCAGAAAAAATTATGGAACTCTTTTAAAAACAAATGTATCAAAAATTTTAGTACCTACCTACATCTTTTTATTAAAAATTGAAAGTTTGAACAATTTTGGTTGAAATTTCCGTCTGTAAAAAAGGGTTGTGAAAATAGAACAATGCTTATCCTCTTCTATCTTAGTTACTGTAGTATGATGTATTGAATTTAGTCCTTAAATGAAAAAATTTTTAGGTCCAAGGAAATTTTCAAAGAGTGCTGCATTCTACATTTACTTGGCCGCAAACCTAGCCTAGTAGAGTTTTCACTCCTAGCAAAGGACTTCAGAAACTTAATAAACAGTGGATTATTGGGTTAACTTCATTTTTCAAGGATACTAGCTAGAACGAGACCTATTAAGTCATCTTATGATAATAACATATAATTATGGATCCGTGACAAATATTATGTCATAATGACAGTATATCAATGCGGATTATTACGAGGTCACAGGTACAGTAGGGACAATATTTAATATTCCTTATTTAAATAGCATTGCAGGAATTAGCATATCATAACAATGTCTTGTACACCAAATATCTGAGATCTCAGAAAACAAATAATTATCATAAGAAATATCATGAAGTAGCTCTAAAAGAATGGCTTCTTGAGTTCGATCCGATGGTAGCCACCATTGCATCGGACTCTCTAAAAATACTGGAACTAAAATCTAGATTACCTTAGAAATATGCTTATAATTATGACGGGCCTGTTGGTTTAGTAGTTAGTGATCCTTACTGCTAAGCCAGAAGTCGTGGGTTCGATTCCCACCCAGTACAAATAATTGTGTGATGAGCACAATTGTTTGTTCTGTCAGAGTGTAATTTATCTATAATATGTATGTATTTAGGAATATATAAGTATGTTTATCAGCAGTCTGGTTACCATAGTACAGGCACTGCCTAGTTTGGGATCAGACGGCCGTGTGTGAGATGTTTGAGGTAAATTATTTTAGCAGTAATTATGTCAGCTCCATTATTTACAAACTCATATTTACCAGCATAATTGTAAAGGTGCCGAATCTTATGTTAAATTATCGATTACCATCAATTCTAAAAGCCTAATGTTACTTTACTACTTTAAAAATTTGTAAGTAATGGTATACTATCTAATCAATTTTACTTCATAATTTAAATATGTCTCCTAAATTGATGTACATCTTAAAAGATATTACACAAAGTTGTCCTCGTCTCCAAATTAAGTACATAAACAATTTTATACCGAAATACTCTCGTTGACTTTAAATGAAAATTATATTTACGAGACTTCCCAATTTATAAGGATATAATCTCGTGTAATTGACAGATATTAATTTTCCGTTGATAAAGCTAGCACGATACGAATTTTATTGGTTAAAATTTGATATAAAAATAATAACGTTAAGAGTTATTAGACATTTATGTAATAGTACCTACTAAGTTAAATAAAATACGGTAAAAGTAAGTGACAGCGCCGTTAGAACCACTAGCTAGTGACGACAAAAGGGCAGGTACTCTACACCACTTTGCCAGACCTGTAACAGGACGATAATGGCGTCTTGATGTCAAAACTTACTTCTGTACTGTTATAAAAGTAATTTTCTTTGAGACACTGTCGAAGAAACCCAGTGTTTATGTTACTAAGCTTATAATATATTATGCCTCACACTTTTGACTTCTTCATTTATAGATAGCTACTAACTGTAGTTTGCAAATATCTTCTGAAAACCGCATTAAGAATATTTATCCAAAAATTGAAAATTCCAAAAAGGTGTAACGTAACTGATTGCAACGTACATTTTTTTTTAATTTTATTAATTAGTTCAGCATACTTCGGATTTAGAATGACAGGATTGAGTTTTCCTCATCAGTCGTTCACATCTTTGATATCGTGCCTCAGTATAGGGGGCTGCCAGAATGACTGTCAAAAAGTTGCCAAATTTTTGACGATATACTTTGGCAGAATGGATGTAATTTAATCAACAGAACATAATCATCATTGTAAAGTTCTAACTAACATTAAAATGACAGATTATTAATAATAAATAATAATAACCTGGTACATCTCTGAGTCCAAACTAGGCAGAGCCTGTACATGAATGAACATACTTTTATATTTCTAAATACATTCATACTATAGATCAATTACACCCAGATAGAAAACAAACAATCTTGCTCATTACACAAGGACTTTGATTTGTCTTTTGTTTGATTTCGAAAATTTATTAAAATAAAGTTAATTAACGTTTTTTATGTAATAAAGGGCAAACGAGAAAATGACTACCTGATGGTAAGTGAAGACCACCGCCCAAGAGCAACTGCAGCTCAAGGGACACACGTGCGTTGCCGCCCATTAGTATCTGCCTTCAGAACAGGGTAGTTGACTGTATCATAAATAAATAACTATGTCCGCTTCGATAAAAACAATATCACAAAACATATTGGCAAATTTAATTCTCCTAGCTTTTTATAGCTATTACGATTTTAAATTATAGTTATAAACATTGAATGAAATATATTATTCAATTGAGTAGTCTAAAATAGTGACGTGAAATTTTCATACAAAATTATCGTTTTGACAGATGATAAAAAGTGACTAATTTGACTAAGGTGTCAACCACCCTATTGGGTCTCCGATAACCTCACTTGCTCGGTATAAAGCAACGAAAGAGTTGTTTAATATCCGTTTTCGGCGAGGCTGTGGTATCACTCTGATCGAGCCAGACCATATGTGCCGGAATATGGCTCATCATAATCATCGTTATCCCCATTGAAGTCTCTCTTTGAAACTACCTGCACGCTGACTGACAATGTACCCCCTCCAGGCATAGCTCTCTCCCTCCCTCGTTTGTTCATCAAATATATTTTAACATAAACCATCAATTACCAAATTATAAAATATTTTAACTCCAAGTAAACCAACATGTAAAATAATATGTTAATTTTACAATGTAACATTAAATTTAGGATACATTTGGGATCGGAGGAGGAGGCCAACGGAGGAGATGAGTTAAAGCGATTCCATTAATTAACGAGATTTAATCAGAATGAGCTCGAATTCGAGGAATTTTCATAATCTTAGATTCAGACAAGCTTAGTTTGAATATGTTAAATATAGATTATAATATACTTAATCCATAATGTGTTATTAGGTTCCTCTTTGTTTGCAAGCTTTATTAGTCGATTATAACAAACAAGGCATTTATCGACTGCTCATCATCATCATCAACAGCCTTTAATAGTCCACTGCTGGACATAGGCCTCTCCTTAGAAAGGAGATTTAGACTGCTCACTAAACCCAAATTTTTTGTATTACCTAGTACTATTTCATCTAATAGATAATTTTTTTAA